ACTCTTTCCAAATTTAATTATTTTCAGTTTGACTAAGCTATAAATAATTATATGGGTTGTAGGACATGGTAGAATTTTCATCTTTGGTATAAATGGTTTTATTGCCTTTTAAGTACAGCTCATTCCAACTTGTGGTTTTGTTGCTGGATTTCTGGTTTGGTGTTTTTCACCTCAGGTTTGTGTTACCTAATTGTGTTGTGGGAAGAAATGTTAGGTAAAAGATTCTCTAGCTGTATCATCAGTTACTTTGTTGGTATTTTCTTTCTGATAATTACAATATAAGAGATTACTCTTGCATACTAGTTCGGTGGGTTTGGGTTTTTTTGTTTTGTTGTGTCATTTGAGAACACACATTTCTGGAAGATCCTACTTAGCCCCATTCCATTTCATGTTGCCAGATAACAGTTTATTCAAATTTTCTCTTAACTGTGTTTTTTCTTTACAAAAATAATAGGGAAATCGTATTTCTGCAATGTGAACATGAGCTTCTGAGTCAGCAGATCCGTCAGTTGAATATACCTGAATATTGAACTTAAGTTCTAAATAGTAGTACGTGCTTTTCCATAGTTCTGTATTTGGATTTGGATTTCTGGCAGAAGTGTAAATGGATGTGGGTCTGATCTGTAAAATGATGAGTATTCTATGACTGTTACAATACCTAATTTATATGATTCCTCTCTTTGGTGTTCATTGTTCATATAACACTTAACATTTATTTTCATAAGTTTATTTATTGATACTCCATGTTTTTAAATGAAGTGTTTATTCATGTGTTTGAGGTGATTAATTTTGTCTGCATTGAATTTATTATGTTTGCCTTGCCTATCAGTACATCGAATATTTGTGCTTGTGACCATACAGGGCTATTGTTTTTCAGAATTCCTGGGTTTCTTTGCATTTTATTTGGTATATTATGTTTATTTTAAAGTGTCAGTTCTCTTTTAATTAATAAATGTAAACCACCACGGAATGCTACTTTGCCACTTGTTAACAATAAAGCTAATATGCCAATAAAACTTCTTGTGATGCCCAGGTTTTTGTAGCCAAATGTGAAAATATCATAGGGATAGGTAACTTCATTTCAACCAAATAGATATTGTTATGTCTTTGGTCAAGTACACCAGACCCCATGTGAGGACCATCCACTGTCTTCTCCTAGTGGCTGAGAGAAAGCCACTTAGTTACTATTTTCAAATGATAGGGTTTTTTAACTGACTTGCAAGATAAGATTTGGATTCCTCAGTCACCTTGAAAAATACCCTATACCAGATATTTAAGTCAGTGTGATCTGCTTATATAAACTTAACTCTGCATCTCTTTCCAAACTATATGGAAAGTTTAGTTTATAGAGAGCCTGTAACTCTGATAGGCTCTAGTAAGTAAATGTGGGGTTTGGCTTTGTTGTGTTGGGTTTTGTTTGTTTTTTTTTTAAATAAGCCTGTAAGGTATAATACATAACCTAAGCTTGATCTGGGTTTATTCTCCTTCATGAGGTTAGAGCACTGTTTTGTTGATGAAATAATTTAAGCAGGAAAAAAAAAAAGAGAAGTAATCATAATAAGGGCTTGCATTCCTGACTTTTTTTTTTTTTTTGGCTAAATACAAATGAAGACATACCAGTTCTTCTTTTCTTTCCTCCTTTTTAGGGGAAAGTTCTTCCTATTGAGCTCTGTTTACTTCACCACACCCTCTTCAGAGGAAGGCGGGTAATGTTTTCCATTCATTCAGTATGAAATCCTTTTATGTGCCAAGAGTCTGCAAAATCTGTCACAGCTGAGATTCTGTGATATTCCTTGTGCTGTCTTCCTCTTATTCTAGTTCACCATGAACCATTCAGAATCAGATAGCAGAGTCTTTCCTGCAGGATAGGCCTGAAACTGCTTGATTTGCCTCAAGATTTAAAATATGGCCTGCTGCTTAAGTCATTTAAGCTGACTGAATTTACAGCTTTGTAGTAGCTTATATTGCATCTGTGGGTTTTTAATTCCCAATGACCTTTGCTTTCCAAGTGCTTATTAGGAAATAAACCTTGGCTTTCAGCTGTTCCTGTATTTCCAAAACAACCCAGCAGTTCTTCAGTCTCAGAGACAAATTTAACCATCAGACTCCAGGGACTTCTTTCAGTAGAAGGGATTTCCAGAGAAGTCTATACAATAGGGGTTACATTCTCTTATCTGCAGTATCATACTGGGAAATCTCCTTCCTATTATATAAAAGAGTTATGGATTGTTTTTTGGTTTGGGGTCTTTGTTTTGTTTTTGGGTTTTTTTTTCCCCAGTATCTGGAGTTAAAGTTGTAAGCTTTTACATCAAGAGCTAAAGACAAGATGTTAAAAGTTTTACAGAGATACTACTTCTACCTCAGGAAGTCCCTTCACCATAAATGGAAGACTGGAGGAGGTGTATTCCGGGAAAGCATAACAGTGCGTTTGCTTTGCTCTTAACCCCTTCCCTCACCGTGAGCAGTAGGGCACGCTGGGTTTCATGGGTTCCCTATAGCTGTCTTAGAGCAGTCAAAGGGGATCTATACAGTTCTTCAAAGCACATCCCACCATTTTTTCAAGTCCTCATTCTGAATACCAAAAATTTTTCAGAGTAGTTCCACAGAAAATTTATTTTAGCACAGATAAAACAATATATGTTACCTTACCCTGAACCAGGAAACAACAGGCTGACTGAACTAAAGATTTCCCAAAGTATTTCGTCCAAGGCAGACCCATGGTATGGAAATGTCTACCTAAAATGGCCAACAAGTAACTAAGCAACTAAGACATAGGTTTTTTATAACAGGAAGTCCCAAGCAGATGGAGCTTACATACCAACTGTGCTTTTAATGACTACTTGTAAAAAAAAAAAAAGCTAAAAAAGAAGCAATGACACCCAGGAAGTCAGCAGCCCAGTTCCATAGAAGACAAAATATTTTATTAACAAAGGAGTTACAATATCAAGTAAGAAACTGCAAAAGAGTTATAAACAACTATAAAAATACTTCTATTTATCCAAAATAAAATATGAAACCTTTATTAGTTAAATGCCAATATATTATTCTCTGAAAATATTCACACATTTTAAGTCGTGTTTGTCTAACATGTTCAAACACGTTATATAAAATAATTGCAGATATTATAACCTGCAGGTAAGAAATTCTAGCTCCTCCTGCAGCAAACTCTAGGATGACCAAATATGTAAGCCTAGTGCTGTCTCCAGTCAGCTGAACAAACTTACATTCAGGCATCTTCTTCTCCTCCTTCCATAGGTCTCACTGTCTTGCCCCTACTTCAGCCAGTACAAGTGTGCTAGATCTCTCAAAAACCACATTTCTCAAAAAGCACACTTCCTATGTTTTTTAAAAAGTTAAACTTTTCCCTGTTTTTCCAAACCTACAGTTTGTAGACTCATTAGATACACACATTGCAAACATTATCGCATCATCAGGACAGACCCAAAATCAGCTGCTTCTTTGGTAAATTGTTCCTTTTGGTCATTGATACGTTTTATATAGATATAAAGAAACCAGCTCTTTCCCAAACTGGTTTCTTTGCCTGCAGCTTCTAAGATTGTTGTATAAATTGCAGTAGACGTGTAAGTGGATTGCTTTCATATGATGGTATAATAAAGTTATTGAAAAGATAAATTCAGCACAGTTTCCAGAGCATGAAGGTGGGACATAACCTTCTGCAGGGTTCTCATAGTTCTTTGTTTTAAACACTGGTCTTTCATTCCCACTTTGGACTGAAACAGCTAGGTTTAGCCATTTCTCTTTAGTCTCTCTCCAGGAACAAGGTACAGTAGCTTTCCAACAGAATTCTGGCATAAATTCTATTCATATAAGTGAGCAGAGTTACTCGAAGAATGCATACAAAATACAAAGATACCAAGTAATGCCACTTTGAAAGAAAGGAGCAGGATTCACCCGGAATCACCTGGAAATTATTTTTTCAAATTTATTCCAGCAGGAGCGAAGGCTAGATATATTTTCTTTCAGTTCACAAAGTTCTTGGTTACATTTCTTTTTTGACTGTTCACCTGCTTCTGTATCTTCTTTATTATGTGTATTTACCTGTGTGCAAACCTGGAAAATAATAGTTTGTGTTGTTAATAAACAAGCAGTTATTCTTTTCATATACACATCTTTTAAACCAAACTGATTCCATTACATCTCAATAAATAATGGAAGTAGTTTATATGGCAGTTAAGCCAGAAAGCCAAACTTTGGCTACTCACAAAACGTGCTGTGGTGATACACAATGTGCGTGATGTGGGGGGACATCACTGATACTCTCACCCTGAGCACCCCCATGCTGTCACCCTTGCCAACAGCTGGAACCAGCGTGTGCCACAGAGAACATGCATGTGGTTTAACATTTATCCTCTGTTACTTAAAGGACTGGAAAAATAAAGGCAAGTCAGTTGTCTAACTAACTTCAAAAGACACGACTACATGCGTGGTACCTCAAGACTGGTGGAACAAGACAGACCTATTTCCAGGGGTTAGTGGCCTAGCGTTCAGGGTCTCACCTAGAGACATGAAGACTGTGGTTCTTGTCCGTATGCAATGGCTGTTCATGATTTTTACCAAATCACTTTAGTTGTTCTTTAAATAAACCCAGATATCCATGAGGTTAGGCAGGAGTTTCAGGTGTGACACTTTTTTGACTTCTATGACTTAACTGGGATACCTTTTATGGTACGCCAAATGTTGGATTCACCACAGGTGGCTAAGCAAAATACAGACACCAGCATTACTTTGAAGATCTGGTCCTAATTTATAAGAATGTCTCCATTTCAAGGGAAAAAAAAATGGTTAAATGCAGCCTCCAATCCAACTATTTAAGTGGATAGTAAAGAATGATATCCTTTAGGCCCTGTGGGGAGGCTTTTTGACGTTGGTCAGTGTTTTTGTGTTCAGTAGGTAACTGCAAGCTAAACTTGGCAGTCTTCCGTTGCTATGGTAGTCTGTAGATCATTCCACTAGTTTTGAGTGACAAATCAAAGAGCAGATTCTGCCAAAGACTAAAAATCCAAGTGTTTTCACATCTAACTGTTCTTGTTGAGTTTGAAATACTGTGCTTAAAGATCAAAGGGATTATGGAGAGAACTTAGGGTAGAACCTCAACAAGAAGTAACAACTACGATTTTACACACTAGAGAAGTTAAAGGCTTTCTTCACACAAGTGTTGTCTGTCTTTTATTGGAGAATTAATTCAAGTATTTCAATACTGAACCAGAGTATGTATCTCCACTATAGACTTCCAGATCATTGTCTTAGTCTTTGCACTGAGTTTAGTGTCTATTACAAGACATATCCTATGTAGAGCAATATTTATCATGCATGTGTGTGATAGTTGTACCTTTGAGAGTTAGATATGATAGTCTGTGTTCAAGAGCTCTAAGGAATAAGTCACATACTTTCAATAAACTGTAGACCATCACTACCACTCACCTTTTCTTTTTTATGTCTTTCACATTTGCACTGTAGAACCTGTAACGTCCCGCATGAGACTAACGCTGCTTTCCACCTAAAGTCCTTGATGATTTTTTGCTTATTAAAGAACTTGAGCATGTTGCATGCCATACTCTGTAATGATTCAATTTCCTGTAAAGAGAGTAAGGAAAATATGTCCTGAAAGTCTGTGCAACATTAATTCTTCATTAACTTCGTTTGTCTTTGAAATAAAAGCCTCCATCAGTTGCCATTAGTTTCTTTTGCTTTCATAGTGCCAATCTTTTCCTGTAAAACACATGACTAATCTGGCCTACCTGTCATCTCTTCAAAATATTTAAAGTATCAGTTTGTAGTAGCAGTATCAATAGTATAAGGATGTGAGGGAGAAATCCTAGCTGTAACGAAATCAGCTAAGGCAGTTAGGAAAACAGTGAATGATTTTTGGCATCAGTCCTTTTATCAAGTCATTATAATATCTGCAGTAACAGCTGACTTTTTGTCATTTGAAATCTGCCTAAACAATTCCTTTTCAAGCTTTCAGATATGAATTGGAAAGCTTAGCTAATACAGGTTTTTGTAGAAAAATGAAAACAGAAGTTGGGAAAATTTTTATGGTTACTTCCATTGGCAAAATAAAATGCCAATTTGCTGTACTATTTTGAATTAAAAATATAAAAGCATCATTATAGTAGCAAAAAAAAGGCATTTCTTGGACATGGAATTGTTTAATATTTTAATATTAAAAACATCTATTTACGTGAGAAGTTGTGTGATTCCAAATTAAAAAAGGAACAACCCTGAATATCATGATTTAACCATTAAAAATGTAATATTCCCTCTAACACAATGTGTTATTCAGGGACTGTACAAAGAACCCATCTGAGTTCGTATTCTCTGAAGTAAATTCTGAGTAGTTAATTTTTACCTGAGTATCATTGCAGAAAAAGACTTTGCTGTTTTCGTGTTTTTTATTCCTGCAGCACCTGTCACGATACTCTGCAGACATATTTACCTGTAAAATATGATGTATGTTTAAACATGGAAGTACTTTTAAGCAAGTAAGCCAAGTTTCTTACGAACAGCTGGGGATGTCAACGCTAAATTTTTCTGTATCATTTCCTTAGGTGTAGTTAGGTCAGTAACAATTCTGAGCTTTCCTTGGCAAGCAGACTGAGAAAACCCCAGTCCAGGTACAATTTCTGAAAGTATTCACAGAATCACATAGAATCACAAGGTGGTTGAGGTTGGAAGGAACCTCTGGAGATGACCTGGTCCAATCTCCCTACTCAAGCAGGGCCACGCAAAATGGGTTGCCCAAGACCATGTCCAGGAGGCTTCTGAGTAACTCCACAGATGGAGACTCCACAGCCCTCTGGACAACCTGTGCCAGTGCATGGTCACCCTCACAGTGAAAAAGTGTTTCCTCAAGTTCAGAGGGAACCTTCTGTGCTTCAGTTGTGCCCACTGCCTCTGGTCCTGTCACTGGGCACCACTGAAAAATCCTGGCTCTGTCCTCTCTGCACCTTTTCAGCTATATCTAGACATCAATAAGATCCCCCTTAACCTTACCCAGGCTGAACAGTCCCAGCTGTCTCAGCCTTTCTTTATCAGACAGACGCTCCAGACTCTTAAATTGTCTCCATGGCCCTTTGCTGGACAGTCTCCAGTAGCTCCATATTTCTCTTGTACTGAAAAGGCCCAAACCGGACACAATTCTATTCTCTTTAAACTTTCCTATTCTATCAAATTCCTTGGTTCTTTGGCATTAAAAGCCACAAAGGAATGTTTAAACCTTAATACAATGTTTGTCAGTGTTTGTCTCAATAAATAAATGCCCCAGGCATCTAAACAGATTGTAGCATTCGCTTTGCACGTGCACTAACAACAGATGGTCTAAGCAGTCTCACTTGCATGACCGTAATCTTTTATCAATGATTTATTCTCTGCAGGTATTTTCTCTCACTTTTAGGCTTGTTACCAAGATGACAACTGAACCCGACTCAACAAAATTCCCTTGCTTTCTTCTTCAGCCTGTATCGAGAAAACTCAATACAACCAGAAGGGCTTTTAAAAAAGCAGCTCACAGAAATACTGTGTTAGATCTCCTCACTTAGACATGCCTGTGAACATATTCAACAACTTAATTCGTTTTCTGCAGATTTTTGTGTAATATTGCCTGTATTTCAGAATTCCCCCTAAGACTGATAGAACTTCATCCAGGAAGTGTTTTCAAAAGCAGGAATTTAGGGTGTAAAGTATTGACTGACCAAAAAAAAAAAAAATAAAATCCCAAATATTTGGGATATAATGCACACCTCTGCTTGTACAAAGGACGAAGTTTTGCTGCAGTCACACAGCACCAAGATTTTAAGATAAATAAATAATTAATTCTTAATCTTGAAACCTAAAGATCTGTGGCTTCATTTGCTAACTGCTGCTAACTGCTAAGGATTTTACCCATTCTCACTGACTTCCTCAGATCATTTTTAGTATAACATACAGTAACCATTTCTGAAGAATGTATCTTGGCTGTGACTAAAGCAACCTAAGGAAAATCCTGGCCTCAGAAAAGGCACTAGTGAAAATGAAATTAACTTACGGAGATCTATTCTATAACCTACTTGTCATCTCTGTAACTGTCTCCAAACATCAGGCCGAGGGTCTGGAAGTTATTGATTTTGGCTCTTTGCTAAGTTACATTGACAAGACTATACAGTAATTTTACATAGAAGACAAATGAAACTCACTTAAACTTGGAAAAATAAAGACAGGAAAATGAAGAAACTTGCCTACTGTAGGAAGTAAAAGCTTCAGAGGTCAGCACATTCCCATTACCTTTGCCAAACATTAATTCATTAAGGTTTTATTTATTTATTTACTGATTTAATTGGATAACAGTTTTAGCTCTCACACAGTCTCCTAAAATCCTCTGTTGCCTAAAAAACTCTATAATGTCTATTACAATAAAAAAGATAAAGACTTTCAGAGTGTATCTGGAAGAATGGCATAGCTCCATTCAAATCCTTGTGGGCAACCTAGGGCACCAAATGTATCAAACCTCATCCTGCAATTGGGCAGTGGTAAGGCATTGCCACCTCCAGCCTGGGGCATCCCTGCAGCTTCCCTGACCCGGAAGCTCCAGCAGAGCTGGGACACACCTCATGGCTCCTGACCACAGGAAGACTGCAGGATCTGTCTCCCAGAGGCTGTTAGTCCTGTCATAGTTTTCTCTTGCTCACCAAACAGGTTTACTTTTGTTCTCTAGGAAACATTTGTCTTTTTGAGAAATAAGACAACAAACTACAGGGCTACTTATCTGTTCTAAGATGGCCATGAATATTTCCCCAACCTTGGTGCCTTGTTCAAGCACAAGGTCCTTTATCTGTGGAAAAGTACCTCTCCCTCTTCATAATCACAACAAACACAACATGATAAGAATGTTTTTGAAAACTAAATGATCATTCCCATTAGGCAATACCCTAAAGATATCTTGTTTACTGATGAGGGCTGATGTGTCCTAGTAGACAAAAGTTAGAAACCACTGGCATAATGGTCTGAAGGATGGTGGTGGATTTTAAGTTGTAAGAAAGGCAGTGGCTCTGATTTCACCCTTGGAAAAGCATCGTATATCACTTGCACTTCATGCAAGTAGATCGTGATTTAAAACTGCAACAGAATGATAAATTCTCATTTAGTGACAAACTGTCAGAAAAATCCCATTTTTGTAGAAATACCTCTGCTAATCCAACTATGGAAAGTGCTTTTGCCAGTGAAAGTGTTCTTGATAGGTGAATTTAATTGTTAATAATTCATGATGAAGGGTTGGAAAGTAAGTTTGGGGCATGGATCGGTAAACTGTTATGATACTGATTTGCAAGGCTGTAATAAATCTGGCTGATAAAGCCATAATGAAGACAATTGGATTTTTGTCTCCTGCCATCTAGAAAAAATGATTTTTTGTTGACTAAACAAGATATATTAATAAATAAAATACAAAGAAGCTTTTATTGTTGTATGAATTTTGTGCCTCTGTGCATTTGTATTCAATGGACAACATAAAACTTCAGTTAAGCCTACAACTAGTCCAACAAATTATAGGTTGTGTAATGCTTTCTTCTCTTGATAAGAAGTAGTCATTAAATTAGTTCAGAAAAGAGTACTTTTTAAAGTAATATGTTATACTATTTAGGACCAAACGTTACATGTGTCTAACTACATGGTCCACAGCCACAAATACCTGTATCACAGTATTTGTACATACAAATAGGCTCTCAGAGATTTAAACAGACTGAGTTGTTGCACTCCCTCAAATAAAACCACCATTCCACAATAATGTGTGATCTTAAATTGGTCTTTTATCGTATGTTACTGTTAGAAATTTTTCTTATTGCTATCATCTAAAAATAATCAACAATTTTCAAAAGCCCAAGAGCTATTACTTACCAGCTCATTGATGTCATGGCTTAGGATATTCTCATACTTCACACGGATTTCAGTTGTTTTGTTTCCCATTGCACAACTAGATGATTTCACTGGAGACAGAACAAGAAGCAGTGGCAGAACCCGAAAGACAGATCTAAAAAAGGCTGGAGTACAACGAGGGCAGTTAAGTACATATTAAATGCTGTAGAGCATATGCTGTATTAACAAATACATTCTGTATCTGTTAAAATAGATTAAAAGGGATCTTCGTTCAACACAATGACTTGTAACTTGAGGGAAGGATTGGGCTCCAGATTAAGACACTATTTGGCTGTCTAAACTTCCTCTTACTCAAGGATCCTCAGCAAGTTTGCTGATGACACC